TAGACTTGGGAAAATGACTGAGTTTTACAACTGTATTTTGTAACTATTGTGCGGGACATTTTGAGACAGCTTGTCCTTTCAAGGGCTTTTCACACACATTTTCAGCTGAGAGTCACATTGTCTCCACGGGGTTGGTAGTGTGTGTCTCAGTCCTCTCCTGGTCAAGGGACCTGGGATTCAGCGTAGGAGTAGTTGCTTGAAAAGAGTCACAACAGAGTGCTGAGGGCCCCCCTGGTCGGTCTACAGTGTAGACCAGAGGAGCAGGTGCTGTTCTCTGGACAGGAGTCATGCCACATCAGAGGTAACGTGAAGGTGCACTGCTTGAGTGTTGGCATACCCAGAAAGCTATTCCTCAGTTGTAGTCATCTGTAAAATACTAGTAGCAGGAAGCCACCGCCACAGACCTGTGGAATCCAGGCATACCCCACTGAACTTACCTACTCTGGGCTTTCCAGTGGTCACACTTTTTTTTTGTTTGTTTTTTGTTTTTTTGAGACAGGGTTTCTCTGTATTGCTTTGGAGCATGTCCTGGAACTTGCTCTATAGACCAGGTTGGCCGCGAACTCACAGAGATCTGCCTGCCTCTGTCTCTGCCTCCTGAGTGCTGGGATTAAAGGCGTGCACCACCAATGCCCAGCTCCAGTGGTCAGACTTAAAGGTAGAATGAAGGGACACATGATGAGTTCCTCTTGTTCACCAGCACCTTTGCTGGGGCAGCCTTTTTCCATCCTCGTGGATTGTATACTGATTAGCTGTTGGCTTCACCTCTGTAGGTGTCCCCAGGAGGCTCAAGAGTCTTGCTATAAGACATTGTCCTGTCCCTGCAGTACTCTGCTGGGAAATCCCATTCAGGTTGGAGCATAGGGCCTGGCTTCATTAGGCTGCATTGGACTGGCCCCCTCAGTGGAGAAATTGAGCTGCTATGCTACAACTACCTGTAGGTGGTGGGATTAAGTTGACCACAGAGCACAAGCCTTGATCCCTGACATGAAAGGTAGAGCTCTACTGGGGCTTGAGTGGAGAGCGCCCAGAGTGGCACCTAAATTTGCCCAGCAGTGTGTGATGAAAGCTTCTCTAAGGATTTAACGACTCTAGTGAGTCTCTAAAGCACAGTGATACAAAAAGAAATCTCCTCCTGCTGTCTCTCTGTTCATTTTCTACGTGTTGTGAAATTTTCCAGGTCAGTCAGCAACCCAAAAGGAGGGAGGATATGTGTGGAGAATGTGCCAGTGATTGAAGAGGAAGAGCATCAAAGTGCTCACAGGACAGCTACCACAGACTGTGACTATGGTCCCGGGACCATTGTTGACCAGATGTCATTATGTGATGGGACTATATTCACTTATTCATATCTTGCTTGGAAAAGGAGACAGAGCAGGAAGATTAGAAAATGTTCTCTCCTCCCCCACCGCCATGCAAAAGCAATGAGTCTTTTTAGAAAATGTTCTTGCCAGGTAGTGATGGCACATGCCTTTAATCCCAGCACTCAGGACGCAGATCTACTGCAGAGGCAGGAGGATCTCTCTGAGTTTGAGGTGAGATTGATCTACAGAATAAATTCCAGGACAGCCAGGGCTACATAATGAAACCCTGACTCGAAAAACCAGTAACTTAGGGCCCTTGTATCTCAGTTTCCCTATCTGTCGAGTAGAGATGATACTAGAAGCTACCTCACAGGGAACAATTGGGTTCTGTGAATGAGATTGATGGTGTGTCTTCTGTGAATGGCAACCACAACATCATGTAATACACGTAGAAATATGTGTCACGGGCATAATGTGGTAAGCCTTGGGGATGACAGGAGAAGGGGAAAGGGATTTCTGAAAATTTCCTGGAGGTGATTGTAGAGCACGCTAGGTTAAAGCATTGAGTAGCTAGGAGAGATGAAGAAGGAGGCTTTCATGATACCTGCATGAATGTTTGGGAGTAGTCCGCATAGAGTTTGCTTAGTCATTCACCTAGCCCTTGATCTATACTGCCTATTCGAGTCAGACTGGGCTGCAGGTTTACAGCAGAACAAACTACATCTTGCAGAAGCCACTGCAGACAGGAATCCCTTCTGGTCAGTCACCAGAATCACCAGAAGCCAGCTGTTAACCTGCTGACGGCAATAGAGTAGGATCCTCATGAACCTTGAGCAAGTGTATGCCTCAGATAGAAGATACCCTGATGCTTTGTCAGCTGTGGGTACACAGAGCTGCTCAGGGTGCTGCTGTGAGTCTAGAGGTTCAGGCCTGAATGTTACCCACAAACTTGCTGAGGACCCACCCATTTTCCCACCCAGGGTGTACATGGTTGTCTTGAGCATGCATCCCTCATCCTTCCTCCTCTGAGGCCAGTCCACTCTTTCATCCATCATAGGTTCCTTCCTTATAGGACCTTGCCCTGATCCCCTCCTTATCCCCAGAATAGCTCCTATTCTCCCTGTGATGTGCTGGCCCTGACCATGACCCTTGTCCTCACACCTGGAATGACTTGTTGCCCAATTGCATTCTCACTGGATGGCCTGTAACCATCATAATGGTAAATTGTCATTCACATTTCCTTTCCATATAGTTCACAGTGTTCACCAAATGAATCAATGAATGAACAAATTAATTAATGCAATGTAAAAGTCATTTAAGAAAGTGCTGCTATTGTTAAAGTGTCTTTCTGTAAATTTAATTGCATGGTCAATGGTTTAATGTTTGAGGTCCTCTGAGCACATGGTGCTTTTCACCATACTAGGAAGGTGTCTGGGTGTCCAGGTGAGAGCTAGCTAGTTAGACACACTTACTAGTTAGACACACTTACTAGTTAGCTTGTTTAGCTTGTTTTGTTTGTGTTGTTCTCAGAGCTTCTCAGCAGGAGCCTGGAAGCTGACATTCTTGATGGCAGATGTGCACAGTCCTCACAGGCAGCTTGAACATTAAAGACTGTGTTGTGTGTCACTATGCACATTTCATTCATTTCATGGTTGTTACCTGACTCAATCAGTTGTCCCAACCATACCCCAGTACAAACCACAAACTAGCCAGCTTTTAGGAAACCCAGAAATACCTCTATAAGTTTGTAACATTTTTTAAGATCCTTAAAAAAAAAAAACAAAACAAAAAACAAAATCTTTGTAGCTCCAAAGGCAGCTCCCTCTGCCGAGAAGTCTGTCTCCAGCGCCTTTGCTTCTGAGGTTGGTAGCTTTCAGAAAGACTGCAATGCAGCGGTTAGCAAAGCCCTGTTAATATGGAAGCCACCCGCTCCCCTTCAGACTGCTGCTTGCTGCCTGTGAACTAAAGAGGAGATAGTGGGTCTCATATGCCCTAGGACCCTCCGTTCTGTGGTTAGACGCAGGCAATTTTGTGAGTGCCTTGGCTAGCACAGGCTTGTCCTGCAGCAGCTCTTAGTTTCTGGTGCAGTGGGCTTTCCTCGGAATGTGAAACTGAAGATGCCTTTGCAGTTTGTGCCTGATAATTTGGTTTTCATCTGTGAGTTCAGATGGTGGGTTATACAAAGGTAAGGGACTTTAAAAAGCATGCATTTATGTGTTCTAAGTATTTATGAATATCCAAAATCAAAGTAGATTATGATTTGAATATATCTCCACTGAATCTAAGAAATTAAACTTTGTATCTTGTTAATGACAGTTTTGACATTTGAAGAATTGTCTTATTTATTGTGAATTAATGTCCTCTAATGAGTTACTCAGTATGTTCTTTGAAAAGCGTTTGCTTTTCCTTTGGCTTTCTAATAAACAAGCTTGAATCTCAGAAATGTAGATATGGATTATAACATTTGTTCCTTTTAAACAATGACAATTCATTGATCTGGCATAAGATATTTCATTTTTCTGGCATAGGCTATATCATCAGCCATATGATGATAGATGATGAAGTCCGGTTCCCGAGTTCTTATTTTTCCTCAGATGAAAATCCTCAGATGAGCATTTTTTCAAGTGTGGAGCTCTGTGCTTATGCATGGGGTGAGCAGGGTACTACCTTCAGCTGGTTCTCTTTGTTTATCTAAGAGGGAGGCTAAATCCAAACCCAGATTGGTTTTGCTATAAATTGGTGACCCTAAAATGCATTGAATGCTTCATGGTTGTTAATTTTATATGTCCAGCACCAAGAAATATAATGTCAGGGTTACCATGGCAACTGCATGTGTTCTGAAAAGCTTGTGAATGGGCTCTGAGCCTCCTGGCATTTTAACTGAGATTTTCCAGCTGAGAACCTGCATACATGATCAGTGTAAATACATTCAGCTTTCTCTGTGCTTACCAGAGTTGGCTTCCCTGCCCAGCTCTTTCTCTGGTGACATCTACCTTGCCTCTTGGTTCCTGGTCACAGACTATGGTTGAAAGATTGTTTTCAGCCTTAGTTTGGGGAGCCATCTCACCACAGTGGGGCTGACAATGCCTGGTAATCCCCCCATCCTGACTGTACTTGTTGCTTCGAGTCCTGATGTGTTGGTGTTTTCTGTCCATGTGAAGAACTTCTTTCCAGAACTTTCCGGGCCCCAGAGCCTGACTTCCTCTTAGCTTAGAAGTTGTGGTGGTTGGTTTGGGGAAGGAGGCCCAGTGATCAAGCTTGTGAAAATTATAAAGGAGGGCCCATGACTTCAACATTTATAGCTAGTTCATTCCCCAAGCTGCACAGGGTGGCTTTAATCCCAGCACTCAGGAGGCAGAGACAGACAGATATCATAAGTTCAAGGCCAGCCTGGTCTACATAGTAAGTTCCAAGCCAGCCATAGCTGCAAAGAACTCTCAGACAACAAAAAGCCAGTCTTCTGTGTACATTTAAACCATTGCAGCCTTTTTTGGAGATAGGGTCTTGATTTAAAGCCCTCATTGTGCTTGAACCTATTACATATACCCATCTGGCCTAGAACTCAGAATTATATGGTGTAACTTTTAATTTGAAGGTAGGTTATTCTTTTGAGTTACCCATTAGTGGGTGTATTGTTGTGGCTTATGTATGGGCCTCATTTAGGATCTTTGTCTAATACTGTCCCTTTATTTTCAGATGAAGAAACTGAGGCCCAAAGAAGTTATCCACTTGGTTGCGGTCCCAGAATAGATCAGAATCCGTTCCGCTGTCAGAAACCTGCCCCTGGATCCTGGCTGGCTGGCTGATCCCCTGAGGTTCATTTCCTGACAGACAAGGTTTGCTCTCAGCTAATACTTTGTTTTCCTTTTGTCAGAAAGGGGGTCTTTTCATTTCAGGTCTCTAACTTAGAGCTTTCAATTAAAAAATAAGTTTCCACATTTCTTTTTTTCTTGCATCTTTTATGAAATTCTGTTTAGTGTGCAGATACTGACACATTCGTGGGACAGGCATGGCATCTGCCCTCTGTGCACCTGCTGTAAGGAGAGCTGTGAGCAGTCATGAACTATCCAGTTAAATTCTGAACTGAGGAGCTGGGGAGACATAGGCATGAGGACCAGCATTTGGATTCCTGGACCCTAAGTGCCAGGGATTGGAGGAGACAGGACAGTTCCCAGAACTTGCTGGTTAGTGAGTCTACCAAGTCAGCAAGCTCCAGGGTTAGTAAGAAACCTTGTGCTATAAAAATTGAGGTGGAGATACCAGGCGGCGGTGGTGATGCCTTTAATTCCAGCATTTGGGAAGCAGAGGCAGGCAGATTTCTGTGAGTTTCTAGGTCAGCCAGGGATCTTGTCTGGAAACCCCCCCCCCCCAAAAAAAAAAAAAAAGGAAGGAAGAAAAAGAAAAAAATTGAGGTGGAAAATGACAGAATAAGAGGCTCGGTGTCAACCTCTTGCCACCAAGACACACATACACACTTGTAATTCTAGCTCAACACCTGTATTTAGTCATCATCATGACACCACACTTAAGAAGGCAGAATGACATAATGAAAGGTTCAGTCATCTTTTTATTTATTTTTGTTTTTTTTTTTTTTTTTTTTTTTTTTTTTTTTCTTTTTCACAGAGATCTACCTGCTTCTGCCTTCCCGAGTGCTGGGATTAAAGGCGTGTGCCACCACCACCTGGCTCAATCTATATATTACAGGTGGTAAGATGTTACCTTCTCAGAAATTGAAATGCAAATTGATTTTCCAGCCTGATTATGGTTTGGTATTCATGGTCTTTAATTTTTTAATAATTTATTTTTATTTTATGTGTATTGGTATTTTGCCTGCATGCATGTCTGTGTGTCAGAACTTGGAGTTAGACAGTTGTGAGCTGCCATGTGGGTGCTGCAAATTGAACCTGGATCCTTTGGACGAGCAGCCAGTGCTCTTAACCACTGAGCCATTTCTCCAGCCCTCAGTGGTTTTTAATTTTCTAGTTTTCAAAAAAAATTTAAGATTTTTATTGTAGGTCACATAAGGTGGTAGGTTGTATCATTTTCTTTTCTCTCTGTCTCTCCCTCTACTTTTTCTTTCTTTCTTTTTTTTTTTTTTTTTAAGACAGGTTCTCTCCATGTAGCCCTGGCCATCCTAGAACTTTCTCTCTAGACCAGACTGGTGTTAAACTCACAGAGATCTCTACCTTTGTCTCTTCAGTGCTGGGATTAAAGGTGTGCACTACCACACGTGGTTTCTTCTCCTAAAAAAAAGAATTATTTTTTTTATTTTTATTTTCTTTGTATGGGTAGAGTTATGAATGGTTGTACCTGCCACGTGGGTGCTGGGTACCAAAATCTTCTTTCTCTGCTGCTGTGCTTTTATTCACTGAACCATCCTATTGGCCCAAAATGTGTTTTTAATAACACAATTCATGTAGCATAAACTCTCTTGCTATACAGTCACATACATCTTTGGTGTGTTCACAGTTGTTCACAATCTTACTTAATTCTAGAACACTTTCATCAACCTGAAGTTATGGACTCTCAATTTATACAACAGACAAATAAGAATGAAAGACCAGCATCATGGCACATTACAGTGACCTGTGATGCTGTCCGTGTGCTGTGTCCTGCAGGCACAGATTCAAGCTGAAAAGTGAGTGTTACTCACTTGTTATGTGAATAAGAGTTTACATTGAGGCTCTGGTGAGAGGGGAGCTGTAAACTAGGTTTTTGAGGTAGAAGTCTACTTTGATAGAACATAGGTCACACTACAGACAGACAGACAGACAGACAGACAGACAGACAGAAGGACATCTGTGGCAGATCTTCCTGTCAGATGAAAGTAGACCACAGGGTTTGGGTTTATGTGTATGATGTGCCTACACTATTTTCCTTTACCATGTGTGCTTGTTTGAGGCTTGTTTACGTAGCCCTTGTCTGTATCTTTCAGTTCAGAGGACTCAGCAGACCAGAGAAGGAGACTTCGGACCCTCCTTCTTTAGTCTTTGTGGTGGCTGGGAAAAAATAGCCTCCAAAGGGAGTGGCACTGTTAGGTGTTGGCCTTGTTGGAGGAAGTGTGTCACTGTGGCTTTGAGGTCTCTTTTGCTCAAGCTTCCCTCAGTGTGACAGTTAGTTGACTTCTTGTTGCCTACAAGATATAGCACTCTTAGCTCCAGTACCACATCTGCCTGCACGCTGCCATGCTCCCTGCCATAATAATGGACTAAACCTCTGAAACTGTAAGTGAGCAATTAAATGTTCTCTTTATAAGAGTTGTCATGGTCATGGTGTTTCTTAACAGCAATAAAAACCTTACTAAGACAGGCTGTAGCATTTCTGTGTAGTATCTACCATAACATTAAAACCATGGCCCTGGGGCTGAGCGTTGGTGGTGGACGCCTTTAATCCCAGCATTCAGGAGGCAGAGGCAGGCGGATCTCTGTGAGTTTGAGGCCAGCCTGGTCTCCAGAGTGAGTGCCAGGATAGGCTCTAAAGCTACACAGAGAGACCCCTTCTCTAACCCCCCAAACAAACAAACAAACAAACAAACAATGTCCCTGTCCTTAACAGGCTGAATTAAAATATTTCCAAAGAAAGTGCTAGCATGAGATCCTGATTGCCACACCTTGAAAAGTTGCCTGTGATACTCCAGTCTGTAGAAGACAGTTTTGGTGGATACCTCCTGCTCAGCCTGTCTGGCCCTAAGCTATGTGCTCTCATGCGGAGATGTCCTTTCTCTCAGACCTAGTTCTAGGTCCTGCTGCCCAGAATACCAGAGATGTGCTTGTCTTAGGACCATCACTCAGAACCCGGGGTTCCTCAACAGTGCTTCCCTCTTTCTGAAGATAGTACTGCTACTTTTGTCATCATGGTCCATGTGACCACTGCTGTGCCATCTCTAAACTGTAAAACAAATTGTTTGTTACTTTTAAATTTGCTCATGTAAAATTCTGTTGGTAGTATTAACTTAGAACAGGTTTTTAATATCCGATTTGTTTAAGAATGCCTTTAATCCCAGGGGAGGAGGAGGAGGATATTGTGAGTTTGAGGCTAGCCTGGTCTACATAGAGCTCCAGGCCAGCCAGGTGGGACCCTGTTTCAAAAAGCCAGACAGACACCTGCTACTTCCCGCCCCTCACTAGGACAGATGAGTTGGCATATTGTCCTAAGTGCTATGTCAGGTCTTCCAGCATTGCCACCATGAAAAAGGTGGTTCAGCAGCTCTGGCTGGAGGCCAGGTTCAACCATGTGAAATTTCCCAGGCAGCTGCAGACTCAAAAACAGTTCTGTTTACAGAAGGTTCAAAATGACCCTCTGTTGACTAGGTTGTCATCTTCTACAGTCCCTTTAGCCCCAGAAAGTCTGCCCCATTTATAGTTACATCTTTCAGAGGTTTCTCAAAGTGGCCTCAAACTCACAGAGATCCACCTGCCTCTGCCTCTCGAGTGGTGGGATTAAAGGCGTGCGCCACCAATGCCCATCAATAAAGATAATTTTAAAATACCATTTGTTATCTGGCATTCATTTAACATAGAGGTTTCATTTTGTGTTTAGAAAACGTGACAGATCTTCCTTCCTTCCTTCCTTCCTTCCTTCCTTCCTTCCTTCCTTCCTTTTCTAGAGAGAAGTGTGGGGGAAATAGGAAGGTGTATGCAGTCGCTTGTACCCAGCATGTGCACAGGAAGACATCATCTGTCTTCTCTATCACCCTCAGCTTTAGTCTCCCGACACAGGGTCTTTCACTGAACCTGAAACTGCATTTTGGCCAGGCTGACTGGCCAGCAAGCTCTGGGATTTGCCAGTGGTAGGTATGGGTTAGTTACAGTTATGTGTGGCCATGCCCAATTTTTTTATCTGGGTACTTCTGGTGTAGCAAACACTCTCACCCATTGAGCCATCTCCCCAGCCCCGAGAAGGACCTTCAACAAACACATGCTGTAAGCTCAAGAGTAGAACTTTCCCAATTCACCTAATCACTTATAAAGCACTGTGTACATGTCCTACACTTACACACACACACACACACACACACACACACACAGAGACTTGACTAGAGAAAATGGTTAATTTCTGTCTGTTGTTTAGAGTATGGCATAAGTGTCCTCTCGGGAGAGCGTCCCTATAGCCCTGTGCATAGGAATCACTGCTCTATATATTGTATATCTCCTGTCTTAGGGTTTGTTTGTTTGTTTGTTTTATTTTTATTTTTATTTTTTTTTGAGACAGGGTTTTTCTGTAGCTATGGAGCCTGTCCTGGAACCCTGTAGACCAGGCTGGCCTGGAACTCACAGAATTCCACCTGCCTCTGTGCCCTAGTGCTGGCATTAAAGTCCTGCGTCACCACCGCCAGACTATATAAAATTTTTGTATGTTGTTTCTTAGTGTCTTCCCCATTAATTTTGATGTTCTCTATCACTGTACTTTTTCCATATTCCCTTAAAATTTGTGCCTGAGGCAAGTCTTCTACTTCACCCGGATCCAGAACAGATCATCTTAAACAACTTAGAATCCAGGCAGAATATGTAAAACAATTTACAGATAATTGTACAGGATAGAATAGGACTGTGTCCCCTGAATAGGGGACCAGGTAGACAAGCAGCACAGTACCTAGCTCATTCCCTGGAGCAGACACACGTGCTGGGCTTGTTGGACCTCTTGGTCTCTGTCATGACCATTCTATTCCCTGTGTTTCCTTTGTGTAGTCCAGCTCTTACCCTCTCAGTCTCTGTCTATTCTTTCTGCTCTTACCTCTCTTCTCTTGCTCTCTTCTCTTGCTTTCTCACCCTTTGCTCTTTCTGTCTTCTCCTCTGCTTGCTCTCCCCCCTCTTTAATAAACTCCATGGTTAGGGTA